AATTGCTCCTTCAGCTGTCCCAGTATGAATGCACCTGAACCTTTCCCACAGTGATGGATTTTAGGAGCAAGYATTCCATGCTGCAAAGCCTGGCATGGCTGAACCCAGCATGGCTCACATGGCACAAGGCCTGGCACACACATTTAGAAYCTGCTCTCATCTGGGAAATTCAGTGGTGGGACAGGCACTTTAGTACCTCCCTGATATTTAAAATTTATATGTGTGATTAATCACATTAGCTTAGAGAAATGGAATCACAGAACCATGAAGGTTGGAAAAGACSTCCAGGATTGTTGGGTCCAACTTGTGGCCAATCCCCACCTTGTCACCCAGCCCCAGGGCACTGAGTGCCTTGTCCAGTCTTTCCTTAAAACCTCCAGGAATGGCCCATCCCAATGCCTGGCAAACCTTTACATTTACAAATACATTAAGCACACCTCCTGAACTGCACATATATCCTTGCCTTGTCCAGAGCTGGGAACCACTATTGCYCTCACTCCCGAGACAATTTTGGATACTCCCCCGTTCTCTTTCCATAGCAGGATTGTCAGAAAAGGCCTTTTATTGACCAAAGCATAATTGTTTTCCTTAGGTACCAGGCACACTTTGTACAAGAACACATAAATGAAAAATGTAGATATTGGCAGTATGTCTTATAAACCCTAAACTGAGATATGACTTCTAAAGAAATTTACTTATGCTGAAGGCATCATCTTCATTTGCCATTAAAGTGCTTTTTTTGAGGAATACTGGATTTGTTAATGCAAAGAGGTGAAGAACCTTATGGTTCCTTATGATGTGTAGCCCTGCCATACAATCATGTACAGTTAAGGGAAGAAAAGGGAGATCCCRTTGAATATAATGTGTACAATTCTGTTTTATTTTTACCTTTCCCGAGAGCAGCAATTCTGGAGTGGAGGGAGAGCCTCCAAACAAGGCCAGGCTCTTGGCTTTCAGCTGCTCCACTCTGACCATTTTTTTACAAACTTTCATTGCATCTGCTGCAGCTCTAACTTGGCAGGGAAAGGGGAACAGTAGGACAGAAAGGTTTCTATAGTGAATCAAAGGACACAACTGCCCCTGGAAGGCTTTCCTAGATATAAATTACAGCCTATGAGGAAGGTAAGACTCTGGAGAAGATCAGTAACTATTTGAGAAGTAACTTCATGTGACTGCGGGTGGTACAAGTCAAACAATTTTTGTTTTCTCTGCTTTCCGATTGAGTGTAGCAACACTGGCATGTTTCATTGTTTGTGAAATTCAAGATGAGAATCCACAAAACAGGATCTCAATTCCTCAGATGTCTCCCATTCTGGAAGAGAAGTCCAGTACACCAGGGTGAACAAAATGAAACTACAACTTTACAAAAAGAATGCTACTTTTATTTTCAAATGCTGTAAAAAGCCTCATATAAATTTTTATAATGCTTCTATGTAACTTTCCCAACCACAACTAATGAAACAGTCTAGGAAAAATATAGCAGTTGCCATTTTGACTCCAAGAACGAGCTGCTGTGAGATCCCAACAGTAAAAGGACAAGGTACATTATGTTACAATGCCTGTAATTGCTCGTGTTATTGAGAAAGTGAGAGCACTTCCTAAGCATTACCCGGGCTARACTGCAGCATTCCCTGCTTGCTGGGGCACAGGAGGAATGTCACCTCTGGGAAGGAGCTGACAGCAGAGCCATGTGCCCGTTCCTAGTGCCACCAGCTGAACTCCCCCGGCAGGTGCCTTTATCCCAGACTGTCTCCAACGGCTCAGGTGGGGAACAATTGACCTATAAAAATAACACTTCTATAACTCTCCAGCAAGGCAAATTGAACAGTGCAAATGCAGTATCAACAAGATTTGATTTCTGAATGCTGGCAATTTTTTCTTAAACTCCTTTTGCACATGAAACAACCTCTGCTGATGTCCTGTACCTAAGGCCACTCACTCACACTGATTGGAGATGGAACGGAGTGCAAAAGCTCAGCTGCAGTTCCCAATCCAAGCTTCCTCCCAACTTTCTGAGAATTCAGATCCAGAATTTCGATTCAGGCTCTCCACTTCCATCGACACACTCAAGTTTTCCCTGCTGGAATAGGTAAATGTCCCAGCAAACCTCTGATAACAATTTGCATACACAATTCCACATTTTAACAAAAGTTTAACAAAACATACTTCCAGAAAATAAATTTTCACATGGTTGCAATCATCAAGCCATTTCAGGATCTTTGGTACTCCAAGAATAAGAAAAATAAATGGCACAGTGACAAACATCACCAAAGGAAAACACACAACCATTCAAAGGAATCAGACAGAAATAACAAAAGATATGTTGCACTTCCGTTTTTTTTTGAAAGCCAGTGTAGATTAACCTGCTGTTTCTCTTTAATCCATTACAGTGTCACAGTTTCACCTTTAAAAAAAACCCCTATTATCCTAAAAGCAGTAGTTAATATGGTTTAACTTGACTTACTGATTAAAATAATGCTATGGTTACAAAAAAATTTTAARAAGTCAACTACCACAATACAGGAGTTTATGCTAGATAGGCTGCAGGCTGTTTCCTTATGGATATAACTCCTATGTGAGCACTGATATGATTAATCATCTGCAGTTTCAAATGAGTATTATCTTTAGTGTTGCAAGTAGAAGGGTTGAGCTTTTTCCCGAGTTTGTAAACCAGTGAGTATGTACAGACATAGTTGTTTAATAGATAGCTTTAAATTAAGTGTGTATTCTCTGCCCTCCCCTAAACCCCACAGGAAAAAAAAAATCACCAGTATCACTGAGTATTTGCAGTTTCCATGAAACTGAGCTTGTCTCAACAAGTTTGAGCAAAGACSTCTTTGTAGGTCACGTTAATGGGGTTACTGTGCTCTTCTGAAAGRTGGTGTTTGCAGGAATTCCAATTCCAGTGCACATGATGCCCTATGGATGAGACTGGAAATTAAAACCAATGAAAATTGTTTTGAATAGCAGTGTCCTTTGAGGCCAAGTTTGCATCTCAGGTATTTTCTGCCTGAGTTTCTCTGTCTTGGATTCAGGGCCTTAAGAAGGGCATTTCCTTTCCTGAGCAGCCTCAGGAGCTGTTGGACCACTGGCAGAATGATGCCTGAAAGGTGGATTTAAGTGAGTTACTGTTTTTGCACAGCCCTTGATGGACAGACTGCGCTTCACCACATTGACAAGGCTAAGAACAACACTGGAGAATTCCTAAGGACCTTGCCCCAGCAGCAATACAGGGATGTTAATTACTGTAAGGTCTGGGAAGCAAATCTGGGAGATCAAGGAACTGTTCCCATCTTAGTCCAGCATTCAGGCAGAAAATTAGCTTTCCTTTGATATAACACTGGATGGGCCCTGARGCACTGGCTACTCCTCTTTGGTGAGCTGAAGACTGAAAATGTTTGGTACAAATAACAGATTTTAAATCCTTCAAGGGAGACAAAACCATGGAGGAAAGGCTGGATCAGGGAAGACTACCTGCACACCACAAGGCACTGATGCACAGAAATCTTGCTGGCAAATGGGCTCTTATGCAGCAGATGAACATCCCAGTGTGTTTTTCAGAGCATACAAATAATTCAGAACAGCTGATTCCACAGTGCCTGACAGCAATAAATATTTCTCTAATGGCTTTATAACAGTAATTTCCATATTCCTGCAAAAGCCAGTCTAGTGGAGTCTTTCCTACCTTATGCCAAAACATCCTGTGTTTCACTTGGAGGGGACTGCAGAAGTTTTAGGGTGCCTTTCACTGGTGTTGAGAGGAGGGAGACAACAACGACTCTGCTTATTCAGTCACTAGAGAATTGTTCATTGCTGTACATGTCTTTTAACCAGAAAATGACAGCAGAGATGTCTACTGTACTGTGACAGATTCAAAGCCCTGTGGATAATCTGTGAGTACAGGCAGAGAAAGTCACCAGTGACCAGAAAATTGCAAATTGTTCAGGGAGTGCAACTCAGTCCTGAACTGCTCCTGCGCTGAAGAGCAAAACCAGAGCCTGCACATGGAGGTATTTCTGCTTCTGTTCCCTCTGCCCGGGTGAAGGCGACCTRTCAGTTTATCATCATCCTGCAGACTGCCACAAGAGCATTCAGATGGTCCCCGGAACCTGGGCTGCAGGCTCAGCTGATCTCTTGTAATCCCATGGCCATGCCCAGTGGAGATACTACAATAAAAAAGAGTGCACTGGAGAGTCTGAGTCTAGTGGGTCACTCCACTCCCTCTASATGAGCAGAGGCTGCTATTCTGGAGAGAAAAGCCTAGAGCAGGATCCCTTCTGCCTGCAGCTTCTCAGGAAGAGAAAAAAAGAAAAAGCACCAATCTGATCACTTCTCTAGAACACATTCTRTGCAGAGAGAAGAGAAGAGAATGTTTGAATTAGGAGTAGCTCAAAGATGATCTGCTTTAGAGCAGAGGCAAGAATGCAGTCTTGGAAACTCTGCCATCTCCTCAAAATGTTGTATCAGAATGTTTCCCTTCTTTTAAAAATATTGGTCATTTTTATTCAGATTCCTTTTTTCTTCTGAAGTTGCCAGCAGGCATCATCATCTTAAACAGCAATACCTACCAACTATCATTCAAAGCAGAAATAGCACTAAACAGATCACAAGGACTGCCTCACTGCCACACACCATGGGAAAAGCAAGAGAAAGGATAATGATAAAGGGCTGATAAAGTCTTGCAGTGGGGATAAGAGAGGGCACACAGAGGCCCAGAGGACACTGCTATTTAAAATAATTCCATGTGCTGTGCTCATGGGAGATCTACCGACCACAAATTCCTAAGGAACACCCTTGAGCAACTGCTCAGAGAGATTTGCAAATATGGGCAATTTTTTTATACTGCATATCTAAACCCSACCAGGTGAGCAGTACAACAACAATGCTGAATTAAATGATATGTTTCTCTCCTGGGTGGATTAGATGGTTTACAGTACAAACAAAGCCACAGTACAGAGAGGCATAATTAACCGTTATCCACACATAGGCAGTGCAGGAAAAGGGATGCACGTTCCTTTTATTCCAGTACCTTCGTATAATAAAGTTAACAAAAATATTCAAATATTTTAAAAAAAGAAAGAAAAGAAGAAAAAAAAAAAGCCAGCTGGCACTGCCAAGTAATTCCTGTAGTAGTCTTAGAAATCCTAATCCTGTAGAATTTCCGAGTGAAATCGATGCGCACCAGAGTCGATGTGTTGATAACTAATGCCAAGCGGGCCTGGTGATGCAGCTACCTGAGGTTTGTGTTTGCAATTTCCTTTGGGGGGTTGTGTTCTGTTTCACAACTTCCCAGCTTTCATGTAGGAAGGGATGGAGCCACGCTGGGTCAGCCCTTCAAACCTCTTGTAGGTGTAATTGAGGAAAACCCAGTCTTTGGATTTGTAGTCAGGTTCTGTTGTGTTTGGCACTAGAATTAAGAAACAAAAGCAAATGCACAGTTAAACCCAGTGCTGCGTCTGACAGGACTTTTCACAGAGTTAAACAGCCCTGAACTCTTATTTCCTTAGTCAGCAGAAATTCCTGGAAGAAATCCTGCTTCTAATCAGGTCAGTTGCCTTCGGTCAATGGTCTGAGAAGAGTGATAATTTCAGAATATAACTTGGAAGCAGCAAAAGGAGGGGTTTTGTTTTGCTTTTTTTTATTTATGTCTACCAGGCTTCCATACCTTGAAAGAACCCCCTAACACTCCCACAGGATACACAATTACAAATCCCAGGATATTTCTGATGCTCCAAGCACAACAACATATCCCATTTATCCTCACCACAAACAGAAGATATATCCAGATTTCCCCAAGAGAACTCTGTGTATCACACAAATACCAGTCTCCAAGGACTTCCTCCCTGCTTCAAGCTTCAGCAAGGCTTGTACAGCCTCATTTTATGAGCAGCCCACATGGCTGGCAAGCTGCACACTGGCTTCTTTGTACTTCTCTAAAAATATTTTCACTCAAGACACCAAGCATACCAATAGCAGAGTTTATATTTAGGTATCCCCATGTACAGAACCATTTTCAGTAGGTCTGAAATGCCAAAATAATCCAAATGTTCTTGGTATTGTCCAAATACGGACTTAAACAGCTTAGGCACTAGAGATGGATTGCTTTGCATCAAAAGGACAAACTTCTTCCCCATTAAATAAAAGCCGTATCAGAAAAAAATCCCAGCTTTTGGATAATTCTTATGGTTGTTAACACAGCTATTAACATTTAGCAATTAATTCCTGTTAAACAGCTGCCAAACTTCAAGTAACTGAAAACAGGGGGACCTGAAAGTATTTACATGTCAAAAAATCAAGCCTTTCACATATAAAAAATTTCTTATAACTTGCCAAGACAAATCAACAATTAAAACCCTGAAGTGATTTACAGAGCCATTCAGGTTCATAAACTACTGTGCTAAAGAATCAACTGTCTGGAAATCCTTGCTCACAAATATCTCAACAATTATGTTTGGAATAAAACCTCAAAATTCATCAAAGATGAAAAGCAAATCAGTGCATGATGTTTTCCCAGAATCCGGTTAGACAGACTGCCTGGCAGAAAASTCCACTGCTTTCTTTGCTCACGACCTGTGCAAACCACTTTTACTAATGGCTTTAACTCTTAAAAACTCTGGGCTTTGCAGCTTTGAGAGATCACAGGTTTACACTCATAGTTCAAGGAAAGTCTCTAGATCAAATCCCTAGATTAACTTGATTAGGGCATCAGAAAAATTAATATAAACAATAGCAAAAGCATCCGTGGAATATTCGGGCACRTCACAGATGGAAATTTGGAGTTCAAAATAGCAGCCTCACCTGGCTGTAAAATGTCYGATTCAGGAAATTCATCGAAGTTGGAAGTATCATCAATACTTTTGATTTCTATAGGGATTGCAGCTGGTCTTTCCCTGCAAATAAAGATAAATACAGAAGAGTGAACATTAGGAAAAGAGACATTAAGTTCCAGTTTTAATTTAGTTTTTTACAGTTACAACACACCTTTAATGCAGAGCACAAGAGTTTCACTGAGTGCATCACGGCTGAATTTGACTCGCMTGTTTGCTGACACCATGGGGAGATTGCCTGGTTCCCTATCCCTATCGCTGTTTCCCCAGCAGGCTCAGGGCATACATAATTTTCCCATTAAGTGAGAGAGCATTTCACACTTATCTGCCACACAGTTATCACTGTGATCTTGCCTGTCACCAGCTATCACTGTGGTTACCTCTGTTTCACAAACCTAGCCCAGCAGGATTGCATTTGCATCCAGAGCCAGCAGAGGTGTTGCTTTACAGTTCCAGTGCTCATCAGCCTGGGCCTGATCCAAAACCTTTGGACTGTAGCTCCTCTTTGTGACACTCAGCATTTCTCTCCCAGACCAGACTGGCTCTGGCAGCTCCACAGTCAGGGAGCCCTTGAAGGAGTTTTTAAGGAGGCTTTGAAAGCTGTCCCACCAAGGCATTCACACTGGGACACAGCACTGTGGGAAAGGCAGTGATTTACTCATCACAGTTCTAATTACTACACCTAATTGAATCCACAGCCACCCCACAACAATTTCTTTCCATTATGGGCATTCTGGAACAATCTGAGGTATCCCAAGACAGTTAAACTCTGATCATTTCTGTGAATGTCAGAAAGGCCAGAGAACCTTCAGAGTCACCACTTACTGTAAGTAGCTGCCTTTCAAAATGAGAGATAAACTGGAAATAATTATCCTTGACATCACAGTACATTAAATTCTTGCTTTCATGGCTTTTATTCTCCGTAAAACACGTGTGTATATACATACCTGATATGTCCCCAGTCTACTCCTTCAAAAAATGGATGACTTTTTATTTCCTCTACTCCATTGCTACCAATTCTATTTTCTGAGTCGATACAAAACCTGAAAAAGGGGAATAAACAAAGGGAATGTTAAAATCAATTCAGACACAAGCAACAGTATCCTACATCAAGAATKTCAAGGAGTTCTTTCAAATTGTTCCACCCCTTGGGATAACATCAAAGCAGCCCAGTGCATGTAGGAGAGAAGGGAAATAGTAGAAGCAGAGAATTGTTAAACACCAAAACAAAAAGCTATGATGCCAGTAACCTACACCTTTTCTAAACTACTGCATCCCCATCTTACAGGTTTGTGACAAGTTGCCACACATTTTAGTCCCATGAGATCTGTTTGGAATGGAGACTTAAATCCCTATTACTGAAAACTCCTCTGCATGTTCTCAATGACTTAAACACCCATGTTTCAAAGTCATGTAAATCATGTTTTGGAATCCCAATGAGCCAGCCCATGACAACCATGCCATGTCCCCATTCTCCCCCCATCCTCTCCTCAAAGATGCAGGTGGTGTRAAGACCCAGGGCCTGTTTCTGATGCAGCCCTGCTGCATAACCTACTCTCAGACTCCAGAAGAAATTGACAGTTTATGAGAAGCAGCCGTGAAATAGCAGCAAGGAAAAGATGAAACTGGAGACAGAGACAGGATTGTTGAGATGGGGAGTGTTACCTGCTCAAGCAGGCCAAACAGGAAAAACCTAAAATGCTCAAGAAGCAAAAGAGGGATGTGGAAGCTCTCTGACAGGAAGCCAGTGACCTCAGGGATTTGTTGCAGGGAACAGCAGAGGCTGACCCTTCTCTAGACTGACGCTGAGCTGGCTGGAAAAGCCTCCCAAGTATCTCATCCAGGAGATGGGAATACCAACACTTTGCCTAGGAATTCATTAAATCCCAGACACCTTCTGTATGTATAACATGGCAGGTTAGACTATAAACTGTCTCCAATTACAGATTAAAATTCTTTTAGTTGTAGTTGAGTGTTACTGGGGAAGAAAAGCTGCCTSCATTTGTATTGCAGCCCAGCAGGTTGGATGGTGCCAAGGACTAACAATCCTCAAACCCTCTAACAACATTCAGCCAGAGCAGGCCACAGGATTTGTCAGGCTTTGTCTGAACTTGAGCTTATTTTAGTTTGGATTTATCTGTATCCATAACAAATACCTTGTCTGCATCTCCCTTTAAGCCAAAACACACATTGCCCAACTTGTTCAAGCTGTAATGGACAAAGTACCCAATGCCCAGGTGGTTGCTGTCCAAGCTGTTTTGACCTCATTTTAGTAGATTATCTATAATTAAGATGTTTCGCCCAATTTAAACCTTTCTCCATGCGGGGACAAACTAATAAATTTAAGTAGTTGTTGYATAAGTAGATTCAAGAGCAAAACATGCAAACCAATACACTAAAATCTCTAAAAATTCCCCAAAYACAGCCAGGATTGAGAAGAAAGGAATCCTCAACAGTAATGCTGTACTCTGCCCCACAGAGAACCTGGGATGCTGACAAGGAAGGCTGAGCAGAACACTAGAGAAGCAAATACTGAAAATGCAATGTAACTGTTCTACATGCACTTCTTAATGAGGATTAGCAAAAATTCAATTATTTGAGCTTTTAGTATCACTAACTGGATGCAGGATAACTGTTTCTTGTGTTTGTTATGTTTTTGTAGGTTACTGGAGCACTGCTTGAACTAATAATAAATTCTAGTTCTGTGAAGTACGTTCCCCTTTTTGCCTGTAATGACATTTGGAAGCCWGTAACATTAACTTTGAAAAAGAAAAAAAACCTGGACAAAATATCAAACCCCAAACCAATGTGCCCCCCTCAAACCCTTCCAGGACAAGAGAGCATTTCTGCCTGATCTTGTGACCAAAACCCTCACATAAACAATTAAAAATTGGAATTTTGAAAGTAGTGAGTGAATCCAAACATTCAAAGATTTCTGTGCATTACATTAAATGATGATGAATGGTTATTTTCTTGCCCCCTTTGAGAAGAGAAAAACTCTGTGGTGATCACTTCTTTTTGCCTGCTGTTTTTCCTGATACCATGGTACACATCAAGATCATTCCAGCTTATTTTTCCATGTTAAACAAATGGTAAAAAAAAAAAAAAAAAAAAAAAAAAAAAAATCAAGGCTGGTGACATAGAAGAAAACAGCCTTCCCTCCAACATAAAGCTTCCTTCACACAGAACAGGAATTTAGCCTGACGGAAGATAACTGGACTTTTGTTACTGACCTTAGAATTAAATCTTTTGCTTTCTCTGAAATGGGCACCTCTGGAGGAAATACCAAGGTTTCTTTCCAGTTCATAACTTTCCTGTAAGTCTCCTGTGGTGTTTCTGAGCAGAAAGGTGGATACCCTGCACGAAACAAATAAAAAATGAATAAACTTTTTTCCAGGAGCAATGACCTAGGTCTCTGCTTTTGTCACCAGGGGTCCCAAATCTAACAAGCCTTAACCACAAGTTTTCTCCTCTGAACAAACAGACGCCGTTTACCTTTGAACAATTCTTAATCTGGGGTTTTTAACGTACCTATTAGCATTTCATACATGATCACTCCCAAGGACCACCAGTCACACAGCTTGTTGTACCCAGTCTGCATAAACACTTCTGGAGCAATATAGTCTGGGGTTCCTACAGTAGAATATGCCTGGAAAAAAAGAATACTCTCTTTATAAGATAGATACTGCTGTTTTGCACTTTGCAATACCTTTTCCTGGGGATTCACATTCAGGATCTTGCTGTTTGGATGGGCAAGAATGCTTCATATGAGAACCCACAGGAGGTAAAATCCCAAGAATATTATTCTTTTATATTACTAAACACAAATAACCTCAAAAACAATGGCAATCATTCTCTTAAATGYGATGAAATCATAGAATATTGCAACTGCAATATCAGAAAGTCATCTTAGCTAAAMTTTCAGGTAGCTGCATTACAAAAATACCCAAGAAGTTCTATCGATGTGGCCTTTGTTTATTTTTAAAGGGATAAACAGTGGTAGATTCCCATGTGTGACACTCATGATGTGTATTGGGAAGATTCTGTGTATTGGAAATTTCTCTTTACAGCTGAAAAATTTTCCAGGGGGCAGGATGAACAGAAAAAAACCCACAATCAACAAAAAAATACTCACTGCCAAAAATGTCCACCAAAAGCAGTTTTGCCACAAAAATACTTTACTTTCATTTGTCTGACCATAAAGAAAACACTTTATTGAACAGACCTGAGACATTTAGGGTTGAACCAACAGAAAACCAAAAATGTAGCTCCTTTTCCAACAGCKTTGATGCAAGTTGTCATTTTGGCCTTGTATTCCCTCTGTGGGACTGTTCTTCAGCACACAATTCTGCCACATCAGCCTGTACTGACCTGGAGATGCAGTCTTCAGGGATCTAATTCCAAGATGGAATAAGGCTGTGAAGTACAGCCCCAAGAGGCAGCATGATTGCAATGTAATCTCATTATGTCTCGTGAGGATAGATAACCCAAAAGCTTTCTGGGAATACTCCATTAGATATTTTTAAAGAGTGTGGAAAAATAAGAGGCTCCAAAATTTGCAAGCTGAGTTTTTTTGGTGAAAATCATGGGTGATCATCATCAGGGATGAAAGTCTGAAATCCCATGGCTGACAGACATTTTCCTTTGGTTCAGCTCATGCCACAACTCCCTGGAACTACTAGACCACCATCTTTTGAGTTATTTGTGGTTTTGGGAGCTTGCGGAGCAACACGTGAGGGCCTCGCAGGTTTTGAAAACCAGTAGTGTTGTTGAAGAGCTTTAATTTAACATTTTCTGTAAATAGTTTAAAAGCAAAACAAAAGTTATACRTTATTTAATTAACTCACCAGCTGTCGCCTGTTCTTCTTCCATGTTTCTGCTTTCCTCTTTGAGTTCATATTCTGAAATGCTAATTTACAAAAGTTATTACATAACAAATGCCTTTGTGAGAATTAAGAGAAAAAACATTGATGAGGTTCCAGTTTTAAATAACTATTTTGTATATTTAGAATTCTTTAGTCTAGAAATAAATTCTTGATTGTAACTGAAAATGGGAACATGAGAATAACTACTGTCTGTCCAATGCACAGCTGAAACTCATGTAAGTAGGACACACGATCAGCAATTCTAATTAGAACTTGCTAAAATTTTTAGATCAGCTTCTGAAAAGTTTCATGACACTGTCACTGACTTCAGCTGGGTGTCACATGAAACCCATGTCCCTCCTGAAAGAGCAGTTCTGCAACTTCACTAATGTTATGAAAAATAAATTAAAATATAGATATATTACGTGTATTCGTTTCTCTGTATGAATGTGCAAAAATCACTGTAGAAATCATTTCTTGCCTGTGAARTGCTTCCATGTCCCAGGGAACAAGCATTTCCAGTTTTCCAATTAAATGCAATCAGCCTGCCCCATCTTGCTTATCCCAGCAGAAACACATGTACAATGTGCAGCTGCAACTCAAAACCATTTACATGTCAAAGTAGGACAGCTCATACTCACAAAAGTCACTTGGTGGGTTGTGTGTGAGGTTCCTGTAGAACTCTGTTCTGTGGGCTTTCTTTAAACCTGTGCAGAGCCCAAAATCAGACAACTTTACATGACCCTAAAAAATAATCAGAGAACATGAAACCATTTTTTAGATAGGCAGTGCCTGAAAAAAACAAAAGTTTTAATCACTGCAGATTCCTCCCCAGGCCATGATGGATTTGCAAAGGGCTACCAGGGAAGCAATGACTGAACCTTACTGTACTGGAAAAGTGTGTTTTCTCTCCAGCAGGCTACTGTCTCCCAGGAATGGCTATGTCTACATTTTCACAACAGCTGAGGGCAGCTATTTGCCTGGTTTGTTTTGAGCTGGATACCACTGCGACTGAGAAAGCCTCCAGGACCGAATTCCTTTGTTTTATTTTGGTGGTAACCTTGGCTTTAATCAGGTTTCCAGACATCAGTGCTAGATAGAACCTATCAAACCTGACAGACTTGTGCATGCTATGATAATGCCTGGTCTCCATGATCTTAAAAGATCTTTTCCACCCTAGATAATTGCATGATTTTGTGATGCTTACTGGGTGCATTTCATGGCCAAAATGGTCAGTCTAGATGAGGGAGTTTCCACAGGTGGATGGGCGATTAAACAAATGAGGTAGCTGTAGGAATTGAACTTGTTAATAATATTTAGTATCATCTGAATTTTCCATAGTTACTTCAAGATGCACGAAAGCAAGAGTGTCACCTTAAATGTGTATGAATATCAGCATCTGGTCACCCTGAGTGGGTTCTCTCCCTTAAAAGCCTTAATATGGTTAAAAMGCTTCTCAACAAGATTTGGTTTTGTTTAAAATACAGTGGCCATTCCCTGCCTTCCCTCCAGCCAGTTAAATCTCTGGTGTGGCACCAGTGGCTCCAGCTGATCAGCACCAGGATCTGCAGACTGGAAGCAGCAGTCTGTGAGCCCAGTACATGCCTTGGCATCCAGCAGGAGGTTATCTGGCTTGATGTCTCTGTGGATAAATCCCAGCTGGTGAATGGCATCGATGGCCAACACGGTCTCAGAAATGTAAAACTGTGTCTCCTCCTCTGATAAAGTGTCCTTCTTCATTAGTAACGTCATCATGTCGCCTAATCAAAGAGAAGAAATCACAGCTTAGGGATCAAAGTATTTTAAATCACAAGACTAATGTGAATCACAAGACTACAAGAAGTCCCAATAGAATCCAAATTTAACCTTGTAACTGGCCTTACAGTTACTAATTATAAAACTGTTACTGCAAGGACCTACAAACCCAACTTACATTTTTAGTAAGCTGGATGTACAAATGTTAAAAATTCTAAACAGGAATTTTAATGGATAGCCTGGGAAAACAGTGATTTTTTACAAACACTAAATTTACTGCACAAACTGTTTGAACAAAGACTTTGTTTTGTTCTTACTGATAACAGCCTCAGCAGTAAAAAGCAGAAATTTCTAGTAGAATAATTGTGACACTCAAGTCTATTTAACACCCCTTCACAACGTTTCTCCTTCCCCTAAAAGTCRTAAGTGGTCACATGACTGGAACTCAATTTAAAAGATTGTTAACAGTTTTATTATCACAAATTACAYTGTGTGTTTGTCTCTAACATTTTATGAACTGCCAACAGAAGATAAGGAAGAAGTACCTGCATCACCTGATGCCACAGCATCCAGCTTACCTCCAGGTAAGAACTCCATGATCAGGTAAAGGTTTCTTTTATCCTGGAAGCTGTAAAACATTTTCACTACCCAGGCTCCATCCGCTTCAACCAAAATATCTCTTTCTGCTCTGATATGGGCCACCTAAATTTTTTTTTAAAAATTACTATTATTAAAGGATAAATATTTAAATATTTCAACAAGGAACATCATATGACACTCCTAGTCCTACAATATATTTCCATGAACTTTGGCAAAGGAACTATTTTCTAGCTCTTTCCATGCTCATCTTTTCCATTATCTCTTACTAAATCCTAGGGTCTCTCTAAAAACACAAAGCACGGCTTATTAAACTGATGTTGTTTGTTAGAAAGAATTTACAAAGATGGTGCAAAAAGTGTGAGTAAGCTCAGGAATATCTGACCTTACTTTTGGTATTCCAGCTTCCAGCTAAGGTTTGGAAAATACATAAAAATCTGCTACCCCATAATTTGCTGGAAATTAAAAATAATGGAGATTGCAGGAGGGGTGTGTGTTTTCATTACAAATGTACCCTCATACTGGAGGAAAAACTGAAGACTTATGCATGAAGAAATACTTGCATCGAACAGCCTTCCRTGTCTCCTCCCCAGTTCTACTGGTGAGGAGCATCTTTACAGTTATCTTGTGACAGAGTTGCACAGGGCAAAGGTTCTCCCACAGTAACAGACACTCCAACTTGGATTTATCTGGCTTTATTTAGTCTCCTTCGAAAAAAATATTTATTTCCACCCTCCATTCCTCGATGCAGTTCTAAAACACAATAGAAAAACCTTGCTTAAAAATAGCCAAGATTTCTCCCAGTTGCAACCAGGCTTGGGAAAAAAATAGAGGACTTTTTATGTGTGGCTTCTGTTGCTCTCCATAGAACAAGCCAGGCAATGAAAATTCCAGCAGATAAACACTCTCCAGGGAAAATCACTGTCTGAAACTGAATGTAGAGCCTGAACTCAGACYCCTTCCCACATCAGGCTATGAAATGGGGGCAGGACCACACAAATCTTGGCTGCTCTGCACACCATGCTGCTCCTCTGGTTCCCCAAATTCAGGGCATGAGCTAAAAAATATGTGCCAGGAAAAAACAAAAAGCCACTGCTGCAGGGAAATGATATGCAATTGATGGGTAAGGTTTAGACTAGTAAGACAAAAGTCCTCTTTTATCTATTCTTTCACTTGAGTCACCAACCCTGGATTTCTTTGCTTTTTGGTTCTAAAGTACTTGCTGTGTCCTCATAGTGAACTGTTAGCTAAAAAGTAAAAGCAAAAACCAAACCAARCCAAACTAAMAAGATCAAAGCAAAAAAACCGCAACAAGATTAGACCCCACTATAAARCAAACCCAAGGAAGACAAAGCTGATGAGCAATGTGATTTCTGCTGGTTTTGTTTAAAAGAAAACATCAAATACCTCAGTTCTTACTTTACAGGATAATTTTTCAATAAGCATTTTCCTTCAAATGCAGTTTTACAGATTCAGTAGTGCAAGTTTCATGTTGATAAGTGGAGAAAAAKAAAATCTGTCACTATTCCAAATTGGTTGTAAATARAATRTTTTTTAAATGCCTCACTTCCTWACTTCTGCCTMTTTTGTGCTGTGGTAGCAACTTTAWGGACCTTCTGGACCGCCAGACCGCCAGGGGCTTTCAAAGATGGAAACTACTTTCTTGACAGGGTATGCTTGAAATTTAGGGGACTTGTATACCACAAACCTGCTCTTTCTCCAGCATATCTGCTTTTCTCAGTATCTTCATTGCATAAATATGACCTGTATCCTTCTTCTGAACAAGGCGTACCTTTAATGAGAGAGAGAAYGCAGTCAGTCTTCTGTGCATCAGAAATCTATTGGAAGGCTCCAAACTGCCAGACATGGAAGAGTTCTTTCATTCATTATTTAAAAACACATGGAAAAGGTAATTATTCTGCACCACGTACAATACTAACACTCATGGAGAACAGTTACTGTTTGAGGAGGGGTCAGCAGGCACAGGGAATTCCAGACAGCTTGGATTGTGTACACTAAAATTCAGGAAAAATAACTGATGTGACACAAGGCGGTTTATAAAGAGGAGCTGTGCCACTGCAAATCCATGATTTCAAGGGGCCATGTGGGCAAGATCAATGTGGGAAGCGATGGGAAACTAAGGGTCTCTCCAGGAGCCTTGAGGAATCGATGCACGTGATTAATTACTAGACTTATCACGCTTAGAGAATGACACAAGTAGCTGCTGTTCTACAACAAAACAATTAATTAAATGGTAATTAAAATGCTTCATTACARTGGTCCATCCCATTTTAATACTCTGTTCAAGCAAGAATACCACGAACCTCCCCAAATGCTCCTCTTCCTATGACTTTCAAAGACTCAAAGTCATCCAAGCCAAGCCTGGTCCTCTTGAGCCGTAGGAACTCTGTTTCCTTCCGAGCATGCTGTGATCTGCGCAGCTTTTTCTGAGGACACAGGCACAGGAATCTGTCAGTCATTTGGCAGTAGAGATATGCATCCTCCCTTCCTGGAAAATTCTTCTCTGAATCCCAACAGCAGAACAGTTTCACTTTTTGGGGTTTTTTTTGTGGGGTTTTCTTTTGTGGTTTTGTTTTTTCTGTTTGTTTTGTTCTGTTTGTTTTTGGTGGGTGGTAATATTTTTATTTTTATAGCTTAGTTATTAAAAAAGTAAGAAAGATAATGAAGAAAAAGTATCATACTGGTCCAAACAAGGTGTATCAGTCCCAAAGCCAAAGTTACTGTCTGAGGCAAGGATTCTTCATTTTGGGCAATGTGAAGGATCAGTAAGAGCTGAAACATGCACCCTACCAAAACGGGTGATGACAAGCAACAAAGAGATTAGTAAGCAGCAGAGGTCGTGGTTACAGATGCACAACAAAATCCATTTGGTTTATGGCAGGCAAACACTTTTTTCTGAAAGAAAAATCTGTCCAAATTCCATCATATATTTTGTCTGATGAAAATGTCAACAGGATTCACCTCAAGGGAAGACAAACAATACTCTCAGAGATGCCAAGATCTCCTTAGAGACTGCTACGGAGATCCATGGATCAGGCACCTGCCAGACTCTGTGCTGGGMTTACAGCATCCTTTAAAGCCACAAGATGGCAATACACACCCACACTCATTTTCCCACTTCCCAGGAGTTACAGCAAAAAAAAAAAAAACCAACACCTCAGAAAGGACTGAGTCACTCTTCCTCCTTATTTCCCAGCCTATCCTGAAGGCAAACGTGGTGTAACGGACCTCAGAAAAGCAACTTATTGACCAAAGTTCTGAGAGGTGGCAGGCAGAGATCCCTTCTCACCTACTTCCAAACGGAGCAACGCTGTGACAGTTTATCGTTTAAATCAAGAAAAATTGGTTTAGCATTTTGCTTTCTACCCCMTTCTAACCACATCTCAACTTCTTTCTTTTCTTCCCAAACACAACAACAAAAAATTTTAATCTTTGAAAAGCTTGCTATATACCTTCTGTGGGCAAGTCTCATAAGAACTACAGGTAGTATGAAAAGCCTTGACTAGMTATTTCATGTATCATTCAAGCATATTCCCAGCTTCCCTAATAAACAGCTTATTTACAAGGGCAACACTCATATACAAAATAAAACTATCATGCTGGCTGATGTTTCTGTGAGCTCCTCAAATGCCTATTTGAAGTAGTGGAACAAAAGCAAAGCAGTTTGTAAGGTTACTTAAGCAGTATTTACCTCCTCATCTGCAAGGCCTTCCTCTTCCATAGCCACTTCCAGCTTCTTCTGCCTGTCAAGGGGAAAAACGGGATTGTACATTTTATGATGTACTAAAATCAAACATAATACTACAGCAAAGTGAGCACCTTTGCTTCACATACTCCAATAACTGAAGAATTTGCCCCAAAAGGAAATCTGAAGGTAGACAGCCCCACTCTACCCAGTTACTCACTTGTGAACAAAGCTGTGGAAAATGTAGAAGCAAGTTTAAGCACATGCTTATGTATTTCCAGAATTAGGCATTAAACATGTAAGTACACAAATGACACAAATATTTTAAAAATCATATATCTTGATGAATTAAGGCTGATTTTATCAATTAGGATTACAAACCAGAATTAAAATGTTTTTTTCACCATTTCTATCCATCTCCCACACCCGAGTCCATTCCAGCTTCCATCCCCTCTGTGTGACCACCTCCCTGTGTGTCACACACATGGTCCTACCCACCTTAGAGCCATGCTAACTAACTCTAYCCCCTGGAAGCTCTCCTCCCAGTGCCCTGTCCAGAGCAGGGCTCCCAGCTCCAAGGTTCTTCCAGCTGGTGCCATGCCAGGCTGGGAGGCTCTGAGTGGGGAGCAAAGCCTGGGAATATCCCACACATGGCAGAGGAGGGTCAGCATAAAGCAGTGTGGCTGCAGGAGCCCTTTTTGTCCACCTGCAGGATGCTCCTTTATGGCTGTAAGGGTGCAGCTTTCTGAAGGCTGGTTACCTCCCAGCAGCAGCCAAGAACTCAAAGGCTTGGAGCCAGACTGCTGGTGCCTTTCTGCACTTTGGGAAATACAGCAGGATCCCCTAAATTAAAGGCTCTGGATAGGCAGTCTATTCTCCTAACTAGAAGCAACTCCATTTCATGGAATAATGACTAAATATGATGAAGATAGAAACCCTGCTGCTTGACTGAAAACCCTTCAATTAAAACGTATTACCAAGGGAATGATAATTTCACACACTAATGACAATCCAACACAACATTCATTACAATCAAACACTTGGTGCTTTGACACTTAATTCAAGTGGCACTTCACCACCTCAGAGACAGGACTGGGCACTGCTGGGAGAAGCTGAATGGAGATGACCAAGACATACTCCCATGCAAGGAGTACCAGTCAGCCCTACCCAAGCAGAAGTTACAGATGGGGATTACATTATTCCCAGAAGTCTTCCAGCCCACCCAGGAGCCTCTCAAACCCTCCCTCATCAACCTCTTATTTCTTTACTGCCCTTATTTCCACCCCAGCTCTTTGCCTCCTTTTCTTACCCCATCACCCTGTCAAATACCTCTCAGTCCTGTTCCCTATCTCCTTTACACTCCCTCCTGCAGGGTCTGGGAGTCTTAGCATGAGCTCCATGTTGCAGAGCAGGAACAGACACAATAAGCCACTGCCTTACCCTAAACCAAGCTCCCTGCCCCTCAGCAGCTCTGCAGAGTTCATTCCCTGGGGCACATGCAGAGGAACAGAGGCCACCAACTCACACCACAGGAGAAACCTCACACATACTGCAAACAAGACCCTGCACAGAGCGGTTTCCACAAAGTAACTGATGAGGAGATAAATTGCATGAGAATTTCAGAAGAGTTGGTTCTTGATCACTCAGTGAGCRGAATGTTCACAGGTTCCCCCAAAGGCAGCCTGGGCCCTTTAGGAACTTGCTCCCTGCCAGCACATAGAGAAAAACTTCCCAGAGCTGTCCCATCCGTGGGGACTGAAGAGCCCTTCAACAAACACGAAGAAAAGCTGCAGAGGGGTGAGAAGAAGCAGAGGCAGTACCTGGTTTCCCTCTCCTCGTGCTGTATAATTAGGTTGCTGTAGAAGTTCTCCAGYGTGAGTTTGGCCACCGTCACTCTCTCCCGGGTGTGGTTACTCATGGGAAAGGATGTTGTAGTCCCTGCAGTCATCGCCATGGTAACATGTACTGAAACAGAGCAGGTCAAATCATTACTCACTTCAAAAATAAAATTTAAAAAATACACATTCCATTTCCCCACTCTCCAGCTCCAAATTCTTAGGCACTCTGGAGTTCACAGTAAAGGCACGGTTCTTTAGATACGAGAAACTCCATTAACAGCTGCCTTATAAAATTATGCCAAGACAGCAGGAGGATGTGCTACCCACTCTCTAAAAAAATAACATGTTGGCAAAACAAAGAGTGAATCATAGCAAAGAGCAGTGCACGCTCTGGGTAGCTCACCCAGCTGTGCTTGTCCACAAATAAGGAAAATGTTCCTCTGGCAGACCTGGGCCCAGCCTGGGGGAGGGAAAAGGAAAAGAGAGAGGGAAGGATCAGGCAGCTCCAACAGCTGGACTTGTCACAAYGCTGTGACAATTTCAGACTTCTAGATGCTTAAATTCTAGATGCTTAAAAAAGCACAGGATAAAATGAGACAACAAATGGACCAAACSCCTAACCTCAACCCAAAGGAGAACTTACTTCAAGGATAAAGATAACCATCAAATACATTTGAATTTTAAAGCTGCTCAACAAAGTGGACAGGGGGTACTTACAGCWAAGGGCACATGGTCACTAGGCACCTAAAAACTGGGAAGGAAGAAGAAAGAAAGAGGAAAGAAGAAAGGCTGCTCTCCTTGACAGCTTTCATGCTGAACCCAAAGAACTTTTTACTGCTGGAAAAAGACATCTCAGGGCAGCTCTGAGTGCCCTGCAGCTGATACAGGAAAGCCAGGGGAGTTTAAAAAAAAAACAAAACCAGCACAGTTTGTCCTAAGATTCATGCCCTACCTGGAAGTGGGCTGAGGCACTTTAGMAGAGCCTCATGGAATAAAAGCATGAAGAGCAGCATCTCAGCCACACTCTCATTTGTTCAGGTTGTTTTGAAGTTAGTTTTGGAAAATTACAGGGAAGTACACATCACAGAACCATGGAATAGCCTGGTTGGAATGGACCTTAAAGATCATCTCWTTCCAACTCCCTACTATGGGCAGGGACACCTTCCACTATCCCAGGCTGCTCAGAGCTCCATCCAACCTGGCCTTGGACACTGCCAGGGATGGGGCAGCCACAGCTTCACCACCATCACAAGGAAAAATTTCTTCCTGATACCTAATCCAAACCTCTCTGTCAGTGTGAATTCATTCCCCCYGTCCTGTCACTCGAGGCCCTTGTAAAGAGTCTCTCTCCACCTTCCTTGTAGGCGCCCTTCAGGCTCTGGGTTTCCTTTTTATTATTTATGTAATCCTTCTATTTCACTAGGGGATTGTGAGGAAGACAAATCCCAAATTAGGCTTAATTTAAGCAGATCTGAATACCTTTTAAGGTGAACTGATTAGGGGTTTCATGGAAAAGAAAACTTGCACGTCCACACTGGGGCAGGAGCATTACTRGACTCTGTTCCAGGCTCTTTGTTTTGATTCTGCCTGCTACACTCTGAGAGGGTGGGATTTTATCCTGTGGATTTTTCATTGGATTCGATGTGACAATAGGATATTTGTTGCCAGAAATGCAGCTGCAGTGTCACAAATAAAGGCATTTTATATCATCATGTAGAGAYTATTTTAGCTGTGTATTTTGAAGTACACAAGACACCAGAATTCTGAGAATAAAAATATATCTCTCCATAAAGATACAAAGAGGTTTTAATGGCACTACAACTGCTTCAAAGTGACACCAATATTTCTATTTTTTTAATCAACCTTTTATCCCCTTCAGTTTTCTAAAGAAAGATGAGATCTGTCAATTCCTAGYAGCATTTACTAAACATTCAGCGGCTCTATTTGTCACACAGACACATCCCCCATGCCGGATACATCTCCAAAAGCTCAGAGAACTTAGCATTGGTTGTGTTTATTGTACAGTTTTACACTTTTCCCCTTGATATGTGGGAAAAGACAAATACAAAGAAGTTGATAAGAACAAATCAAACAAAGCAACTGCTGACCACACACTGGCATCTGTGATCAAGTTATTTCAAGAAATGACCTAACAGTCAAAAAAAAAAAAAAAACAAACCCGCCTTCTGATAATTTTGGAACACCAGGATAGAGCAGCATTAACCAGGCTTGAAATGGATTAACCTTTACTTAAGGTATAACGGGCACACTCAAGCACCGGATGTTTCTTCTTTGCACGTCTTGTGYTCCTGCAACATTGCAACTTGATTTCCTGTTCACTTGTTTTCCCCATACTCTACACTCACAAATGCAGGCACTGCCAGACAGCAAATCCAAGTCACTGGGCTTTATCTAGCCTGCAAAAAAGGAGATCCCAATTCCAGCACTGGCACCCTACACTATGAACTGCGGGGTTGACCCTCACTGTGCTTCACAGGAGGGAAATACAGGTGCATGTCCTCAGTTAGCTCTGCCACYGTGGGGAAAATAACCAACCCAAAACCACAACAAAGAAAATATTTATACAATCAAGAGATGCCTTAAGCTCTCCWGATTCCCCAAAGTAAATGAAAAAGAGCACAAACCTGGCAGGAGATCTGAGAYATCCCACAAAATCCTATGTGAATTCTCAGACGAGAAAACCTCTTCAGCCTTTTTCCTCCTTGTCTCTCTGCTTCCATTAACAAGCCCCAAAACACAGCACAAATCCACATCCCAAACTAAATTTTCAGCTGCGAGTCACCAAGTACAGACCTTAAGCATGACCTTTATAAACAAATGATGCAGAGGGATGGGGGCAGGAAGGAAGGAGCTTCAAAACAGACCTTTTATTGACAGCACACTTCTTGACCTCACCACATTAACGGGAATGGTTTGAAAAGATGCCACCCAGAATTCTTGGAAATACCCTCAAAAGCCTACTAGTTCACTCAAATTCCCACCACTTCCACAATGGAACCATTCCACTCCTGCTGCATCACTGGCTTTGCTTTTGGCTTCCTGGACAATGAAGAAGGTCATATATTCAACCAGCCAGCCACTTCAGCCAAAACTCCTCTGGCTGACAGGGATCTTTCCGAAGGGCCTGGAACATCCCCAACTGTGAGGAAGAAAGACATCAAATGGATSTAATCGACAGGAGCCACTGAGCCTGCGGGACAAGGGCTCGAAGCTGCCAGGAGCAGGAATGCCATATGTGCTGCTTGGCCCAGAAAACGAGTCCGTGCCTCCCAGAGGGATGACTGAACTCCCAGCCTGAGCCTCTCCTGATGCCTGCTTGGCTCCCAGAAAGCACCTGCAGCATGGGGATAAGGACTTCTGGATGTGCAGCAACCAGGGAAAATCTTGCTACCAGAGGCAGGTRGAAGAATAGCACAGAGGGGAGGAGAGGAAGGATGTGTCTGAAAGATGAGGGAGAGCAGGGAACAACTACAGAAAGGGGAGAGTAGCCAAATGCTACTGAACTGGAGTTTTCAAGAGAAGGCTCCAAGCAAACCTCTCCTGATCCTCACTGAATGGAATTTTTCAGTCAATAGGGTTCTCTTCTTCATGGCAGAAAAATGTTGCCTAATCAAAGCATACATTTGACCTTTTTCTTCCCAGATCTCTCCTGAGTGGGAAGCAGAGAAAGGCCAAGTGGCATTTACTACAACTTGAATTTGCACTCCCATTTCTCACAACAGCTCTAAGTCAAACTCTGCATCTGTTTCCCTGGAGAAGCTTCTACCATTTAAAACCCCACACCCAGATTTCTGCTACACCACTGGAAACTCAAACCCCACATCCTCTCTGGGGCACTTCTTAGCAGCCCCCACAGCCTGTCATTAATGTTTTCATTAGACTATTGGATTAAGTCTCCTGTTAATGAGAGCAAAAGTCACTGAGGCATCCAATGCCACCTGCTGCAGCAGCTCTGGAGAGATGGAAGAAATCAAAGCACACAGAGAACTGTTCTCCCCTGAAACACAGCACTTTGTGGGATAACTTTCTCATCAGGAAGGGATAAGAAAATCGAATCCAAGCCTCCTGCATGTCATCTCCAGCCCTCACAGCTACATTTTGGAGCATTCAGGATGCCTGAAGGCAAGGGAGCACAGAGCTATTGCTTGGCAGGGAGGAAGGATGGACACCCTCAGTAATTTTAGAGCCTACTCCTATTTAGCCAGGTAGCTCTAGAATTGAAAGACATCACCAAACATTTCAACTGTGGCAATGATGAAGATTCAAATACTTCAACAGGAAAAAGAAATCCACCAAGCAACAAAACAMCCCCCTCACCAAAGCAGATTAAACTCATAGCTTCAGATCCTTCTAACATATTCTTCCAACCTTTGCCATTTAATTTTTTACTGATTTCTCACATGTAAGAGTATGATACAAGCAGTGAAAATTGAAAACAATTTTTCCAGGTATCTTCTTTTTTGGAGGCTTTCATGTTTCTTGGCATAGTGCAGAAACCTGCTGGATTARTACTTGCTTTCTCTTGCCCAGACTGCCAGCCAAAGAGCCAGTCTGTGCCAGTGGGAGAGTGGTGGGTGGCAGGAGTGCATTCCACTTCCTAAGAACAGCTCTGAAGGGACCAGTCCYTTCACAGACAAGATTCCAGCACAGCTGTGGCAGTAAGAAAAGCCACAGAATATATTGAATAAGGATGGATCTATATTATCAAACTAATCTGGACCTAAGTCACACAATGAAAATATCATTCTTATTTTTGAAACCACATGTGTAGTACAGTTCCACAGCAGCCCTAGAATAAATTCACTCAAGRCTCAGTGAATATTTAAGTTAGGGAGCAAACACCACATCCAATTCTGCCAGAGAGAAAACCACCTTTTTTCCACATGATAGAAGGATGTTGCCAGGTCTCCAATCTGCATTTACAATGTCAAGCTACACACATGTTCAGCAGGACAGGGAAGAGCAATCTTCCCTCCAAAACGACATCAATTCACAGAAAGACTGACAACAATTTTAATTTATCCACCCAAGCACACTACTAGAGCCCAGCTGTTAGAAAAGCAGTTTGCTGTTACAGTAAAAATTGCCAAGTTTATGAAGTTTCCATTTAACATTCCAAGAGAATTTAAAATGAAAACCTCTTGAATGAAAACCCCCTGGATAAGACAGATACCGAAATAYATTTCTGCCTTTCAAAATTCCCATTTTTTCAGCATGACATTGAACTTGCTCCTGAAATGAAGTATACAAACAGCATTTTTCAAGAATTAGGAAGCAAAACAGAAAGGAGAAACTAAGCAAACACAGAGAGTTCAATGAAGTGGGTACCTTCAGAAACTCCAGCTGCCACCACTGTGCCCMGAGCYGGGGCTCTTCTGGGTGAGAAGGGAGAGCASACTCTGCTTGGCTCCTTCCAGACAACACAACACAGCAACTCACCAAGCCAGGCACTAAAACCCACAGCTGAAAAGGATTGTATTTAAAAAATGACAAGGATTATATTTTAAAAATGAAGTGCTATCTAGGAAAGCAGCATGGACACAGAAAAGCTTTGAGCACGAGCGGCAGCCTCACTGTCTCCAAATTAYTTGAATTCTCCTAAAGAGAGACAGGATATATATAAAACTGAAAAAAACCAACCCACCATACACAAATAACAGCATGATTCACACCAAGGGGCAGTGGGCAGGGCCAGACAAATGAAAAAAACAGCCTAGGGCTCAGCAGGACGTTGTGATGGGATATATCCTGAGTAGCTTCTGAGACATGCAGCCGTACATGGTGTGAGTARAGAGCAAAGATAAAAATGCTGTACAACAGCTGATAGTTCCAGYGAGGGAACAGAAGGAGAAAGTGGCCATACCGCGCCATCAGCCCAGAGGGAAAATGACTTTCTGCACAACAGTTTCTGCTAGCACAGATTTGGCAACTGTGCTGTGCATATTTTCACTATCCAATTGTTTATACTGAATCTACTCCTGTTGAGGATCACAGAGTGGTTTGGGTTGGAAGGGACCTTAAAGATYGTCCAGTTCCCACCCCCTGTCATGAGCACACCTTCCACTGTCCCAGGCTGCTCAGAGCCCCATCCAACCTGGCCTTGGACACTTCCAGGGATCCAGGGGCAGCCACAGCTTCTCTGGGAAACCTGTGCCAGGGCCTCAGCACCCTCATGGGGAACAATTTCTTCTTCATATCCAATCTAAACCTCCTCTCTGTCAGTGTGAAGCCATTCCCCCTTGTCCTGTCACTCCAGGCCCTTGTCAAGAGTCTCTCTCCATCTTTCCTGTGGGCTCCCTTCAGGCACTGCAAGGTCACAGTGAGGTCACCCCAAAGCCTTCTCTTCTCCAGGTGAACAATCCCAACTCTCTCAGCCTTTCCTCCCAGCAGAGCTGCTCCATCCCTCTGATCCCCTCGGTGTCCCTGCTCTGGACTGGTCCAGCAGCTCCCTGTCCTTGCTGTGCTGGGCCCCAGGGCTGGATGCAGCCCTGCAGGGGGGCTCAGCAGAGTGGGGCAGAATCCCTCCCCCTTCCCTGCAGCCCAGCATGGGGGGGAGTATTCTATAACCCACTTTAATTCTAATTCCAAAGCTTTTGATTAACCTCCAGAAACACCCAAAGCTCTACAGAACCCTGAAGTCTCTGAGCAGCAAGCTGACTAAAAACCTCACTACTCCTATCTATGTCAATCATGTGCCAGTATTTGTCTACTCTTCTGGTGTGATCTTAATATGTGTATTATTTCTAAATACAGCTTTCAGTGCTCAGAATAGAACCTTGTCCAAAGTTCACTCATGTCAACAAAAAAACCCTTAGATCAATAGGTGCTGACCTAGTATTCCCATTCCAGCCTCGGGACGATGCTAGCTGCTGTTACTGAGGTTCATAATTATCAGATCAGCATGTCTGCCAAGCATTACTCTAGGGTATGTTTCACACAGAAAAATAAATATTTCGTTCCTCCATAATTCATGTTTTCAGTAGTATCACCATTCACAAGCCCCTTTTTATTTAACCTGCTAGCTAAAGGAAGCAACATTCCCTGTCAGATAAAACAAATTGGATACTTCACGTGCAGGTTCTTCTTCAACATTATTGCCATGACCAGATCCTTCTGACACCCTTCAGTTTTCACAAGTCCCCTTTTGGGAACAGAAACAAAATAACACTTCAACGAGGCATCACTGACACTTCAGCTTTTCATTTACCTTGTTTGTTTACCTCATTTCCTTTAGCTTTCCTTCCCCAGTGTGCATTATGTTTGAGTAAGTTTTGCTACTTTAAAGTTACAGAATTCATTATATTTGTTCTATTTAAAGTACCACTAAGAAAGTGAGTAAAATTAGCCCCACTGGAACAGACTTTGCTATTTAAAAGCCAAAGATGTTCAAATGTTTTAGCCATTTTCAGTCTTTCTYTCCCCATGGGGCATCTGGGCGAGGCACCCGTTATAGTCACAGCTAAAAGGAGAAAGTGCTCCATGACTCTGAACCAGAAGGAGGGGACACTCCCAGTGCCTGATCCCCAYAGCCGTGAGAAAAACCCTGGGGAGACACTCACAGACACACAGGACTCAGGATGAAAATGCTGCATGAGTCCTGGAGCCACAGTGGTGATGATGATGATGATGACACCAAGAAAATCTGGGGGACAATGAGGCTCAGAGAGCATTTTGGGGTGTCAGCAGCCAGCTCCCACATCCTCCTCTGAGCTTCAGAGGGGCTTAATGCACCCAAAAAAAAGTTGCTCCTAAGAAGGAAGGTACTTTCCTGCTTTGGGGTAGATTCCTAAACCTAAAAATATCCCAAAATGTCAATGTGGGGCTCTGATTAGAGCAGGCAAAAAAAATCCTCTGCCCAACAGCAGGAAGCCCTCCCAGCCCAGGCCGTGGCTGTGTGCGTGCTGTAAGCTGGCACAGGCGAGGACTGTCTCTGAAAGGAGCCCATTTTCTATCCAACCATCTGTTTGCTGCCCTCCCGCTGCCGCTCCGTGCTTGGTGCCAGCATGAGAAGCTGCACGACCCAGACTGAGGAAACATTACCAGGCTGAAATTATTCCATTTTAAAATAAGTCTGGGTGAGGCTGGTTYCACCTGCAGGGATTGACCCAGGTTGAGCCTGCTTTTTCCTTCCCATGGAATCTGTCCGAGAGCGGGAAATAAGCGGACAAGGCCTCCTCGTCTGCTAATTTGGCTYGCAGAAATTAATCTCAGAAATCATTCCAACACACCCACAGTAATGATAAGGAAATATTTCCTAATATGGAATAAAAACTGAATATTGGAGTTGTGCTGCACTCCAGGATTTCCTGCCATTCAACACAGCTGAGCAGCAGAAGTCTCCCATGAGCAGYGGCCATGATTCAATTCTCTGCTGCTTTCGACGAGAAGCAAGCACAAATTAATTTCCCTGAATAGGTATAGGCTGGCTGAAACTATGTATGGGTATATGAGACTGTATAGGGGAATATATACATAAACTAAGTCTACCTACATCTATATAAGATACATAAACTATGTTTATTTTCTTTTAGAGTTAATCCTTTGTCCATTTCAAGCAGCAAAGAAACTTTTGATCCAAATGTCATAACCTTGGCTTTCACAAAAAAATGGGAGACCGGTCATCTCAAGTTTAGAAACACCAGTCCACTAATAAGGTCACTTCCATCTCAGTTCCACTCACCTCAGCCTTTGGTGATACAATTACATTCYTTATGCTCTACCGTCAATAGCTCTGTCCCAAAGTTAGGAGCACATTTGGAGATGTTCTATACTTAGAACACTCACACAGCATTGAAGGACATGCAATGACTTACCAGAATCTTCATGGGCTCAGTTCTTTCAAATAAATGATTTTATTTTCTTTACTTCTTAAGACAATCCAGCTATTTGGGATTTAGCAGTACCTACTCCAACTGCCTCACTCCACATGAATGTCTGGTTTGGGCAGGAGTCCCCCATCSACCCCAACGTCACAGAGAGAGGGGACACAGAGTGGCTGTACTTCTGCAAGGATGGAGGGCTAGAGCCAGAACAGGAAAGGAGAAGAGGTGCTGGTGTATCCACATACTGCTGTCTTCCAAGGAGTGCTCCAAGTGGGAGGTCAGCTCAGGACAACACTCCGGATGACTAAATGAAGCATGAGGCATGACGAGGGAACCAGACCTGCAGTCCCAAGCAGCCACTCCTTTCTTCCAGTGTTTACCACTGATGCATTTTAATCTCCTGGGGACAAGAGAAATCAGTAGCTTGCTGGAAAGCCAACAATGCTTCASAGTGAAATAGCATTTCATAGCTTGCTTCAGCTCACTTGTATCTGTCCTTTCTCCTGGCTCTTTCCAGGTTTCACAGTGGTGCAAATCTGTCCTCTCAAAAGTGTCTAAAAACAGGAAGCTCTTCTGTTTACTGGAGTAATTGCATTCCTGTGCACTTAAGCATTTTCACATCTTTTAGCAGGTACTTGCATTCAGGCATAAGAAAATATTGTTTTAAGAGCTGTTAAATTAACTGGCATTTAAAAAGCCCGTGCTAAATATCTTGCTGCAATGTTTTGGATCATGAAATAATGACAACAAGGTCAACAATCATAAATCAGCTTCCTCCTCAATTAACAGTTTTCTGGAAGAAGTCCTACTGAGGTCCMATGAGAAATATGTCCCAGTCTAAAACATGTACAACTGTCCAAAGGCAACACTGAGTCATGGTGAATTTCTCTAAATCTTTTGTGGCCAAGAGAYACAACTTAGGACAGAAGCGAAGAATAAGTGAAGGAGCTTCTAACAGAGCACGAGTATAAAGTTTCAAGGAGACTGGAATATATTTTCAGATGTGATCCAAGAAACTCCACTCCTAGATTTTAGGTATTTTGTAAAGCTCTTCTACCTCCTAAGAAGCCTAGGGAAGCAAGACCTTTTGGAATTAGGAGAGACTCTCACACCAAAGAATGCTGGAGAAAATGACTTATCTTTCTCACTGATACATGTTCGAATCCCTGACTCTTCCCAGGCTCTTTTTAGATCACATCAATCAAATTAAGTAATTACACATGATAAGTCTGTGCCAGCAAAGGAGCTGACTGGTAAATGAGATGCAGAACATCACTGCCCAGCCATGCCTGTGCAGTGCCTCCAGTCAGGGTTAATGAGCACAACAGATCCCTCTGGCCCTACAAAACTGTAAATGCAGGTAGTGCATGTTGTTAGTGCATGCAATAGTGAAGAACAGATGTTTGCCCATTCAAATCCCACTACAACACTTCATTTCTTTAACTATGATTTTTGGAGAAGCAGACAGCTGTTGGCACGCAAAGCAGACTAACTTGGTGAGGCCCAGGGTGYACAGAGATGAAGAGATGTGTGTGGTTTCCTGATGTAAGAGGAGCACATGGTACCACCCTCCTGCTGCCAGAAGCTGGGAAAAAGATTTGGAATAGTGAGGATGGAGCTGTGCCACACTCTTACCAGCAA